ACCGGAGGGCAGGACGGGCAGCGGCTCTGCTCAGCCTCCCAAAAAGCCGCGGTGGGGAGCTGCAGCCCGGGCAGCCGCCCTCGTCGCCCACCCTCGCCCCCCGCCGCTCCCGCAGCCTCACCGATGGCCAAGAAGAGGTCGTTCACATTCATCGCTGTCTTGGCTGACGTCTCCATGAACAATAGGCTGTTGTCGTCTGCGTAGGCCTGCGCCTCCTGGAAGAGCCGCGAGCAGCTGAGTGAGGGTCTGGCAGCCGAAGCCCTGGCACCTCTCCAGCGGCAGCGCCGAGGGGGGACGGGGACGGGCGGGGAGCTCACACCGGCCCGGAGGAGCCTCGGGCCGACACTTACTTCGTATTCCACCATGCGTTTGCTGGCCAGGTCAGCCTTGTTGCCCGCGAGGGCGATCACGATGCTGGGGCTGGCTTGTCTCTGCAGCTCCTTCACCCATGTCTTCGCCCGTGCAAACGTTTCCTAGGAGCAGAGGTGGGAACTCAAGGCTCGTCCCACCGCTGCGCTGCAAGGCGGGCGTCTTAGAGGGACCCCCGCCACGGCAAGCCCCCCGCCACGGCAAGAGCCGCCCCCGCCTCCCCGCGAGGAGGTGGCCCCCAGGAGACCCCCACAGCCACGAGCGCCCCGAGCCGCGCAGGCCTTCGTTCCCGGGCGGTTTAACCGCGGTGCCCCGCGCCCGGCAGCCGAGGAGCGCGGAGAGGGCCCCCACCTGGTTGGTGATATCATAGACCACGATGGCGGCTTGGGCCCCCCGGTAGTACATCGGGGCCAGGCTGTGGTACCGCTCCTGGCCGGCCGTATCCCAGATCTCAAACTTCACCGTTGTGTCATCCAGGCAGACGGACTGTGTAAGGAACGCCGCTGGCGGAAGGAAAGACGGCGTTAGCATCGCGTCGGCCACCCCTGCTGCGGGCAGGTGCCCAACGGGCAGCGGGGAACCCCCCGCACGCCCCCAGCCCGGCCCCAGATGGGATGGGGAGCTGGGTGCACCCCGGCCCCGCAGCCGGCTGGTGGAGGAGCCCGTTAGTCACACCCGTTAGTCGAGCCCGTTAGTCACATCGAGCCCAGCTTGCTGAGAAAAACTGCTGCCTGCTGTGCACTAGCAGCGTGCTTATCGGGGGATCAGCAAGGGCTCCCGCGCTGGCTGCAGCCCGGGGACCGCTGACACCCACCGAGGCGTCACCGCCTGCCGCCACGAGACCACAGGACGAGGTGTGGGGACTGCAGCTAGAGCCTGCCGCGCAGGCAGAGTGCCTGGTCCACGCGCCGTGGCTGCAGGGCAAGGGCTCCGAGCCTGGCAGGGGCTCGTATTTAGCGGGAAATAAAACCGGCGCAAGGCAAAGCCGTGGTGACGGGGCTGCGGGCACCCCGCAGCGTTACTGGAGGGTGTGGGAGCACCACGACGGGCGCCTCTCGCCAACTCACCGCCGATGGTGCTCTCCTGGTACTCGTGGAACTGGCCCTTGACGAAGCGCAGCACCAGGCTGGATTTCCCCACCGCCGACTCGCCCAGCAGCACCAGCTTGAACTGACAGATTTTACTGGCTTGGGACTGCCCGTTCGGCCTGGCGGCTCCTCGGCTGGTCATGGCCTGGGTGCTGCTGGCGCCACGCGCCCTGCTAACCGGAGAGCCGGGAAGGCACCGAGGCGTCCGCGCGGGGCAGGGGCTGGGTGCAGGGTGCTGGCCCTCAATCCGCTCGGCTGTCCTGGAAGGAGGAGAGAGCCGTCGGCACGCTGAACGCGCGCAGCGCAACGCCCCCACGTCCCCCCGGGGCTGTACCACGTCCACGGAGACACGCTCTGCCGAGCCTCGGCGGGCAAAACTCTTCTTGCCTCGAGCGAGAACGTGCTCCTCCCTACGGGGTCTTTCCCCGGGGCCTCTCCCCAGGCGCCCCACAGCAGCCCGTGGCACAGACCCACAGGCCACGGCTCCGCTCCCCCAGCCTCTGTTCCCCAGGGCTTTCACAGAGCAGCAAACTGGTCGGTAGGAGCTAATCCCAGAGCCAGGCAGACGGGATCCCCGCGGCCGAGGAGGCTGGGAGTGAGTCAGCAGTCCTGCCAGCCCTCCCGCTCCCGGCGCGCCGCACCC